CCATATCAATCACACAGGCTTAGGGGATTATGGGAGTTTAGGGGGGGGTTGACAGGGCTTCAGGGTTTCATCGAAGGTGAAGTACAACAATGTGTTTAGGGATACTTGAGGTCCATGGCTAGTTGTAAGTAGGGTTACAAGTAGGGTAACTGTAGTTATAACCCCTATCAAGGGACTTATAACCTCATCTATAATTTCCGTGAACCTCCAAGTACGGGATTTGATCTTTCGGGTTCAGGCCCTGGGCACCAAGGAGCCTTATCGGCTTTGTGATCTCCCCGTATCTGGCGAACATGACTTTTCCCGCGGTGGCACGGAAAGTCTACGAGGAGACAAGCCCTTGCCTGCGAATATCAAGTCCTGCTCTAGGGGGATGAGGCTTTGGCTTTCTCATACTGGGGGTTGGGCTGTACTCGCAATGGTAGGCTTAATTATTAATTCCCAAGCAGTAGTACAGGTAGGAGAAGTCTTCATAGCAGTGGAGGTCAGCCTATGGCGCAAACGTCAAGGTGACTGATGCAGTACGAGCCGAAAGCCCTAAACCTGAAACCTTCGTAAAGCCTAATTAAGCCTAGTAGCTCCAACCCCTCAACCCTGAACCAAACCAAAGATCTTTCTTTTGGTATTAAGTCCGCGTGGCTCCTTGCGGTTTAGGGTTTAGCTCTTGCAAGGTTGAGGGTAAACCCCGAGCCCTAATACTATTCCGATGTCGGAGTCCGAGACTAATCCGTCGGGCAGGATTCGGCCCCCGAAGGCATGGAATCCCCTAATGCAACCCGAGCCTGTGCTCCCTGAAGCTCGGACGATCGATTTTGAGCACTCGAGCCATTCTGAAGGACTCCCGGGGCGACGTCTTGCTTGTTGCAGTCGCCCAGGTCGCGGGGGGAGGGGGGGGGGGGGGTACACACACGCGGGCTTCGGTTCGATAGCATTATATAAGGGCCAAGGTCGTGCTGCTGTTGCTGCTGTTACCTCATGCTGTTTCGCCCCCACGGCAGTATCATCCCATCTTGCTGGTCCAAGTTGTTTAACAGTGAGGGGAGGCACCCTCATCGCTCCTTCCGCATCCTACTGGCAGCATCGTCATGCTCATCTCGCTCATCATGACCATCGCCATCAGGATTAGGACTTGTTTTAGGGCTGGGGTCCAGGGGTTCCAGTGTTTAAAGCACATCCTTGCCTGATATGAAGATCCAGGATGGACAGCTGATTCTGAACTACGACGACATCATCCAGGTGGACCAGGTCGTCGTGGCCATCGCGCAATCCTCAGCCATCGGTTCAGGTCTCAATACGCGAAGTTTGCTGGAATGACGGGTAGCACGTCGTTTAGCTGGCAAGATCTACAGAGCATTGGAGTGTCTCTTGTGCGTGTGGACGCGCGGCTACTGTGCCCATTGCTGTGGAGGCAGAAGCTAGCCGAAGCAGGAGCAGAAACAGCCATTAACGTTCCTGGCACGTCTGTTTTCGTGCAGTCTGCTTGGTGTTTTGCTTGTTCAAAAGCTGTCTGCTTGCTGTCATGTCTTCTTGATAAGATAAGATTGATGCATGCAGTGCTGACTTGTTCTCCGAAATTCAGATAGGAAGGAGAGACGGTCATACGATCCCTGGAACGATTGTGCACTCAATGTGTTATAGTGCCCGCAAGATCAGAAACTCGGAGGCATTCCATGGTCTGCTTTGTAATGCTATGTGTAATATATAAGTGTATATATATATATATATATATATATATACATATATATATATATATATATATATATTCATTTATATACATATGTGTGTTTGTGTTCCCAATTCGGTACTCCGCCTTCTTAGTTGCAGCCCCCAAGCCCAGCACCTCAGCACTGAAGCGATAAAGCCTGAACCCTAAAAACCTTTAAGCCCAACCCCTAAAGACCCTTGACCTTAAACCCTTTCACCCTTTAAATCCATTGCCTTAAACACAAAACCCTTAAGCTCTTTAACCCTTTAAAACCCTTGACCTTACACCCTAAAACCTTAAACCCTTAAAGCCTTTAACCCTCAAAAACCCTTGACCTTAAACCCTTAAAGCCTTTAACCCTTTAAAACCTTTGACCTTAAACCCTTAAAGCCTTTAACCCTTTAAAACCTTTGACCTTTAACCCTACACCCTAAACCCCTGACCGCAAGCTAAGGCTTCCAAAGAGAAGCAGTGCATGCCCTTCGCAGAGTGCCAGGGCAACATCCTGAAGGCTGTCGTTGTCTTCGGGTTTGCATTATAATATACTTCAAAATACCCGGTATATACCGCAACGTACAAAATGTCTTACAACATACTGCAATATACTTTAAACGACTGCAATATACGATCAGTATACGATCATAGACATCTGTACTATAATACCAGGGCTGTGCATCGTCCTGTAAGGAAGCTCTGCCCGGAGGCCCCACGAAACGGTCGCGAAGGTGTGAGATTATTCCAGGAATTCGATAATCCCTAGAGCTCCAGGTGCCTAAATAGTACTTTACTAGCCATATAATCATGTCTGGCCACCGGAATGGCACGATACATGTTGCGATTCCTAAGATTGCTGACACGGCTTTCGCAAGAAGGGTGTAAGATGAGGAAGCTTGTGAGGTTTCTGGGTGCGCTGCAAACGCATAATATAGGGGCCTTAGTAATTACCTATCCTATTTTGGTGGTTGCTTATAGTTATAGAATAGTGGGCCCCGAAACCCTATTCTAATTATTAAGGCCCCTTTATTAGTTGTCCATGCCTCGCAGACATGGCCTGCAACCACAGCGCAAACCTGGCCTGTAACTCTCTGAAGGATATCTCCCTCCGTTTTCCAAGCCGCCTACACACTAGAGCTGTACCCCAGCCAAATCCTGCGACCCAACACGAAAAGCGCAATAACGAAGACGGATAACATCATCATTGCAGACAAGCGCAGGAATGGCGGTTTCAATTCCTGCATGCACGCCTCGGCCTCAGTGGGATATATGTGCGGCCGGACTTCAGATAGTGCAAAAAAAGACGAATTCACCATGCAAGGTCCATGCGTTTGATCGGTGTTGGTTCGCGTGACTTGTAGAGTAGAGGTGTGTCAGAAAGATTGTACAGGGTTCACGGCGTGCACATGTGGGTTTATGATGGCAAGAAGACAGAGTGACGGAGGGTGACGACTACATCCATGGTGCCTTTCGCTCTCTCTTATCTACAGCAATGGCTAATGCGCAAAAACAGCACAGCCAAGCAACAACGGCACTTGACTGTTGAGGCTTTCCCTCCATCCCAAACCCCAAATTCCAAAACGAGTTCCGAAGTCTGCATCTTTGAAGATCATGCTTCTGGAGCAAGAACGCATCGAGGAGAGAGCCCAACTCCCATTGCAGGCCTCGAGGGCTCTGCAGGAACCGGAGGTCCCTGAAATCTCAGGGTCTAAGTTTGAGGTGCAACGGCTTACATTGGCTTACATGTCGATCTCAGACAGTAGCACGGCCGTGCTCGAACAGCACCGCCACACTCTCATCGCCATGATTCGATCCTCCATTCCTTCCGTTCCGTGCAACCGAGGTTCACAGCGCTTGAAAACAGATCTACATAAATCGCAGCATGCCTGGATCCCCAGTATGGGTAGCGCCGGCGGCGAGCTTCTTGCTGCAGTGGTTTGGCTAGAGGCTCATTATGACAGGGACGCGGTACATCGTCGAAGTAACTGCATCAGCAATACAGTGCTGATGCTGGGATGTGGTGCTCATGCTGGTGCTGGTGCTGATGTCGGTGGCGGTGGTGGCAACCTTGCTTCTGCTGATGTTTTGTCTCCGGTTGTTGAGTGATCTTGGTCAGTCTAACTGCTGCAAGCGTTTCGGGCAGTGCAACAGCTTCGATTCCAGCCCATGCCTGCAGCCTGGAAAAACGGGAGAAGCCCTTCTTCTGCATCAACCCGGTATGGACAGGACAGCGGCAGAGCAGGGACATCACATCACGTTTCGCATGTGCATTCCTAGGGTCTTTGTTGATTTCGGTTTTGGGGTTTCAACTTCCTGGAGTCCTTTTTCCATTTGGGGTCCTGGTGACCCATTGATGGCCCTACTTGGAGGTTCCTCACCTATAACTACCCATGAACCTCCAAGTAGTTCTTTTTGGGGATTACCTTATAGGATTCTAAATATGAACCCCAAGAAGGAACTACTGTGGAGCCTATGGGTAACTACCCATGAACCTCCAAGTAGTACATCTCTGCCCAGCTTCCTAAGGGTCCATGTACCCATATAGCATATACTTTGGGCCCACTGTACCTATATAGTGAGTACTTTAAGGCCACTGTATAGACTATATGAGTACATGGGCCCTAAGGGCTTCTTGCCTCTCCTTCGGGATGGGGTTATAAGTCCCTTAATATGGGTTATAACTACAGTTATCCTACTTATAACCCTACTTATAAGTAACCATGAACCCCTCTCCTTCGGCATGGCCGCCGCTGCAGGAGATGGTTTCTGTCCAAGACGGGAGGTCGACCCAAGAGGCCGGGGGATTCCACTTTGCCACGGCCATCCCGGGCTCAACGTAGGAGACGAGTGTACTTGGAGGGTTACTTATAAGTAGGGTTATAAGTAGGATAACCGAAGTTATATAAAACATATTAAGGGACGTATAACCCCACTTATAGCTACCCATGAGCCCTAAACCCTAAACCTTACAAAAGTCATAACCCAACTGAAAGTAAAGGACTAATATAGACCCACTTACAACTACCCATGAACCTCCCAGTATGCGTGCGCGGGTTCAGACTTGGGCTCGAAAGGTTGGCTGTTGGCTGTTTCCGAGACGAAGAATTTGGTTACACACACGTCCGCCGGGTCCCGTGACCTGTCGCGTGTTGAAAGATGGCAGCTGCATATATACATATATATATATATATATATATAAGGTGTATATATATATATATATATATAGACATATGAAGAGCATAAGAAACAGACTACCTGATAGTCAGGCGCTAGAGCTGGACATTGTGCTGGACTCCGAGCAATGGCACCCAAGAGTGGGCCCAAGCCCACCACTTTATCGGCCTGCTTGGCCCGAGCTGGCTTTCCACAGCAGTTAGACGCCGGAGAAGCCGAGCGGACCATCTCGGAGGTCCGGCGGATCGCAAAATCCTCCAAAGCCCAGGTGCTCTCAGAAGAACAGCTTCTGTCTCAGCTTCTGCGCCCTGTTGCAAACCTGCTATTGGAATTCGTTCCCAATTTCTCTTCGGCTCCAGCATCGAGTCGTTTGAGATTCTGGCGCGATGCTGCTTCGGTTGCGCTTGGACGGACCAAGGCTGGTGTTGCATACAAGCAATGGCTGCAAACGGACGCCATTTTGACAGCTGCCGAGCATGACCTGCTTACAGAGACACTGGAGCTGCCACCTAACAGGAAGCGGCCGTTGCAAGGAGACGCCAAAGGCGAGCCTGAGCCAGCAGCAAAGCGCCTGTGTGGCAGCTCCTCCAGCGGCCCCAGTAATAGCGATCCCGAGGCTTTGCGCCGAAAGCAGGAGATGGCGGAAACAGTCCGGAACTGCCAGGAGGATCTGGAAGCGCTGCGTGCGACGCAGGCCAAGGATCTTGAGATTTTCTTGGAAAGGGAGGAAAGGAGCATGGCGAACCGTCGAGCCCAGTTTCATCAGACCCAGGCGGACCAAGTGGATCAGATGCAGCGCCAGAACATGCAGATCGTCGCAGATCTACGAGCCCAGCACTTGAAGGAGCTCTTTTCACCGTGTTTGTGGATCAGCTCTGGGGATGTGCAACCTTGGCATGGCTTCTATACACTGAGCACGGAAGATTCCACGGACACTTCGCCGGTCTACTGCAAGTACAACTCCTCCACGCCCTTTCTCTACGCTGCCAAAGGAATCCCAGCTGGTTGTAGAGTAGGTAACAACTTTTACCTTTTTTGGGTAGTACAGTCCCCTATATTATATATATATATATGTATATATATATATATATATATATATATGTTTTTACCTCTATAACCAAAAAGGTTTTAACCTTTAGTTCCCCATGATACCCGGCGAGGATCCTGGTGCTTCAGCAAGAACAGGGCCAACCTCTTGACAAAGACGGGCTGTGGCTTTGTGCGCAGCTCTGCTGCGGATGCAGCCCCCAGTGTTTTGCTGGCGACGGGTTGGCGGCAGCTTGGGGAAGACAAGGCTTGGGCCTCCATTGATCTGCAGATACAGGAGGTGCAGTCCACGGTGGAGTTCGTCATCGTGTCCCTTGCAGGGGAGGAGATTCTGCGGAAGAGCTGCGTTCTCAGCGAGACTGTTCACCACTTGAGAAAGCAGTTGCAAGCAGCACGACAGAGCCACGACAACGTACAGCTCTGTCTGCAGAACACCAGGCTCCGAAAGTCCACTCCTCTCGGCTGTCTCAGCTTGAGGCCGGGAGAGACGCTACAGGCCATATTCGGACTCCGTTCCTGCATTGCTTGCAAGACGCCGATCACTGGCCCGCCCTCACGCTGTGGCAGCTGCGCTAGGTGCCACTGTGCTGCTTGCGCCCGGGGCTTAACGCGGTGTCGGATCTGCGGCAAGCGAGTCTGCAAAGCATGCACGGCCTCCACAGCCGGGTGGCTCTTCGCCGGGATGTGTCCCCGATGCGCCCGGCCATGGGGTCTCTAGCAGGGGAAAATGCCCTGCTGCCGACTGGACTGGAAGCCTCAACAGAAAAGGACTCCGTGCCTGTCTGCGGTCGGCGGATGTACAAGCAAGGTCACGACCAGAAGCGCTGTATGCCCATCGTGGCCCCACAGCGGGTGAAGAGGTTCAGTGTTCGAGCTTTCACGTCGTTTCTGATGTATTCTCATGGCTGTATGGGGTTGGAGTTCCGGACTTGACTCCAAGCAAGCGGTCGAATACAGTGCAAACGGCATCGAAAACCGTCCTGGACCCTCTACCTATAGTCTCCATTGTAGTGCCTTTTTGGGGTTACCTTATAGGATCCTTAATATATAGTTGGTTAAACCAAAAAGGGAACTGCAACGAAGACTATAGGTAGCAGGCATACCTCACGTTTTGAACTTACTTCGGTTGCTCTCGGCAAAAAACATTCTGCGACTTCACCAGCCGCACAGGACTGCAGCAGAGGGCGTCTCCTCGTTTCAGGCAGCACCTGTGGTTTCAGAGTAGTCGGTGTAGGGCTCTTCCTCCAACTATCTTCAATTTGGCAAAAGTTCAGTGTTTGGAGTTTTGGATGAGTCTCTCTGACTTTTGGCCATTCCATGCTCTAATTCCGGTGAGATGTTCTTCAAGCATGCAAGAGCAGCCAGTAACAAAATCCGAAGTTTGGCATGTTGATATTCGCACCACGCACCTAAATCGTAAGACCGTGCCGGAGACCGCGCACTGCAACTATCGAACCGTGAAAGTTGCTACACATCGCTGGTCGTGTTCTTAGGCAACACGGCTTGCCAACACTTGACACACGCGGTTGAGGCAAGAACCGCTATGGCCAAAATTCATGGTGCGTGGCAGAAAGGGGCATCGGTTGACAACTCAACGGAAAAACACCATGGTGGCACGGTCCTGGGCATTGAGATTATCAACCAGGCAAGCCAATATACCAGTGTGTGCTGAAGCTTTTTGCCTCTACTACTGCTTCAATAGGGCAATTGCTGGTCTCTTTGCTCGCAGCTGGCTCTTTCTCGGGTTTTGTCCGTAGGCCAAGGTCGGACTGTGTAGTCGACAGAAGCTACAAGCCTGGCAGGTGGATGCCATGGTCCGCCAAGTAAGCCAGGACTTCTGAGTTTCCCCTACAAGAAGGGCTTGGTGATACGAGCATAAGTAAGATCTACGATTCAGAGAGGGACAGCTGCAGTTCCTTTAAGTTCTCATTCCAAGTAAGTGCCACATATCCTTCTAACCGACAGTGTATGTTGAAGTTGTTGAAGATGTTTTATTTTGTGCATTGGGTCTGTTGCTTCAACCAGGGTTTTGGGCAGCACTGTCTTCGGTTTTCCAGTTAGAACCAAAGCCGCGGGAGCGGCAACAGGGACAGGGACGACTACGACGACCACACCAACACCGCAACCACCACCAACACCGCCACCACCGCCAACATCATCACCACCACGGCATGCCGCCACAGCATCCGCCAGCAAAAGCAGCAGCAAATCAATAATCAACAGCAGCGGCGACCGTGAAATGTGTGTGTGTGTGTGTGTGTATGTATGCATGTATGCATGCATGCATGCATGCATGCATGGATGGATGGATGGATGGATGTGTGTGTGTGTGTGAGTGTGTGTGTGTGTGTGAGTGTGTGTGTGTGTGTGTGTGTGAGTGTGTGTGTGTGTGTGTGAGTGTGCGTGTGGGTGTGTGTGTGTGTGTGTGTGTGTGTGTGTGTGTGTGTGTGTGTGTGTGTGGTGTGTGCGTGGGTGCGTGGGTGCGTGGGTGGTGTGGGTGCGTGGGTGCGTGGGTGCGTGGGGTGGGTGCGTGGGTGCGTGGGTGCGTGCGTGCGTGCGTGCGTGCGTGCGTGCATGCGTGCGTGCGTGCGTGCGTGCGTGCGTGGGTGGGTGGGTGGGTGGGTGGGTGCGTGGGTGCGTGGGTGCGTGGGTTCGTGGGTGCGTGGGTGCGTGGGTGCGTGGGTGTGTGTGTGTGTGTGTGTGTGTGTGTGTGTGTGTGTGTGTGTGTGTGTGTATGTGTGTGTGTGGTGTTTGTGTGTGTGGGTGCGTGGGTGCGTGGGTGGTGTGTGTGGTGTGTGTGTGTGTGTGTGTGTGTGTGTGTGTGTGTGTGTGTGTGTGTGTGTGTGTGTGTGTGTGTGTGTGTGTGTGTGTGTGTGTGTGTGTGTGTGTGTGTGTGTGTGTGTGTGTGTGTGTGTGTGTGTGTGTGTGTGTGTGTGTGTGTGTGTGTGTGTGTGTGTGTGTGTGTGTGTGTGTGTGTGTGTGTGTGTGTGTGTGTGTGTGTGTGTGTGTGTGTGTGTGTGTGTGTGTGTGTGTGTGTGTGTGTGTGTGTGTGTGTGTGTGTGTGTGTGTGTGTGTGTGTGTGTGTGTGTGTGTGTGTGTGTGTGTGTGTGTGTGTGTGTGTGTGTGTGTGTGTGTGTGTGTGTGTGTGTGTGTGTGTGTGTGTGTGTGTGTGTGTGTGTGTGTGTGTGTGTGTGTGTGTGTGTGTGTGTGTGTGTGTGTGTGTGTGTGTGTGTGTGTGTGTGTCAGTGACAGCCAGAGCAGCAACATCAGCGGCATTCCCACCACCAGCAATAGCAACAGTTGTGAAACAACAGTCGTCATCATCATCAGCGTCATCATCATAACCATCATAAACCGTTATCATCATCATCATCATCATCAGCACAATCATCATATTGGTACACCAGTGCGAGTTTCAATTGGCACACAATGTATGTATGTATGCATGTATCTATCTATCTATATATATATATATATATATGTATGTATGTATATATACATATATATTCATTCAATGTTGCAATGTATGTATGTAGGTGGGTAGATAGGTAGGTACTATAGTAGGTATGCCGGCATTCATGTCTGCATATCCGTATGTGTATGTATCTAGGTATCTGCTTTTTATCGTATCATTCTGCCCTGATTTATCTCCTTTTGTCGTTGTCTTCTTGTTCGTCTTGTCGTGTCCACGAGTGTTGTTTTATATCCCCTTCAGCACCAGCCCCCAACACTACAACAGGTTCAAACGCCTGTCACCGAAGTAGTCTCAGAAAAAGGACAGCGACGTGAAAGTGGGTCGCTTGAAGGGCATGATGGGCCACGAGGTGCGGGGAATGTAGGTTTCTGATCACGGTTTGATTTTTTGCAGGTTTTTTTGAGAACAGGTGGCAGGCTTTGCCACTTGATAGTCGAGGCTTTTGTACGGCATGCGTGGAGTGTTGCGCTTTCGTTTTTGAGAGCTGCTTACACCCAAAGTGCTGCACTTGAAGGCACCTGCGGGGTTCGGATACTGTTGACTCCCATGCCCGGAGACTCCCAAATCAGAACCACAGCAGCATGAATATCTTGGACTCTGCGCACTCCCTCACTCCAAACCCTGCGGCGGTGGATCCAATGCCCTGAGCGCCCCAATGGTGCTGCTGAATGAACCGTGATATCCTCATGCAAACTCCGCCTCACGGTATCCGTAGCACTACATGTACTTCAACTAGTACCCCTAAGCCCGAAAAGCTATAAATGCTAAGCCCAAAGTTAGTCGTGGTTTGTTCGCAAAGCCTCCAAACAGGGCCGTGCCGTAGAACAGTCCCCACACCACTGCCAACAGGCATCTCGTACCGCCAGCATCTCAGAGGGTTTGAATGGGTACTTTCTGATGGGTGGTAGTCGTGACCATAGGCGAAGGCGAGGCCTCTGATGAAGCACTGGAACCACAAGCCGTCCACATAGCCTTCGGAGGTTCGATGATTGAGACCTGCACTAAATGGAAAGCGACTTCCTGTCATCGTCAGAGAATCATGCCTCATTTCTCGTGCAAGAGTGTGTAGCGCAAGCTTTGCCATGCACTGCTTGCGAAAAGAGCAGGGAGTTTCGAAAAATAGGAGACCCTAATAATGTAGTACCCCGAATAGTAGGATCCTTATGATAAGGGCTCCACAATAATGTAGCCCGATGTTCGGAAACTCCCATGTTCTGAGGCACCGGACTTGGAGTTCTTGAAAGGGCACCCCAGGCTGACGGTGCTGGTGGTGTTGCCCGGCCGGCACACTGATGTTGTGGTACTGCTTTGGTTGCAGATGTTTGCTCAGTATGTGGTATTTGGTGGCAGGTGTTTGCTCATTATGTGGTATATGCGTGCTACCGTCACTATAGTCTGATGCTGTACCTTTTCTATTCCTGCAGAAGCTTCAGCACCGGCAGCAGCGGTGTCAGCAGTACACCGTCACAGCTACTCGTCGTCTTTGCTTATACGTGCTGGATGCTCACTGTATGCAATATCCTGCATTCGCGTCTGCGGCTTTACAAGTCGTTGCGGTATTTGGCATTCCGGAGTGTAGCAGGTAGCCCAGCGCCGGGTAGGTTACGTGGAGATGAAGTGTGGTTGGATTCTTTCCTCCGTTGCACTTCGGATGCTGCCTCTACATGGTGTTTAGCAGTTGAACACGCAGACTAAGCATCATCTGGAGCAAAAGTTCAAGAGATGGCACCCAAGGAAAATGCTATTCTAGAGACTCTTCTTCTCGCCTTCCGGGAGAGACAGCCTCGACAACGCTTGCACTGTTATGTTCCTTGTTGTCCACGGGAATGCTTGCAGAAGGTAAGGCCGTGTTCCTAGACTCTCAGACCGTTAACCCTGACAAGACCCAGGTTCCACGAGGAAAACCAGCCCATTTGGGAGCAAGTAGCCCCTCGTCCGCAACAGTAGTGGTCTTCAGTGGGGAGTTCTGGGAACATGACGAGCAGCACCGCGAACAGAAGCATCCACCAGTGCAAGAGCGTAGCAAGAGGTGCATCAACACGACATCCCAAGACCATGCCCGGTCAATACAACCGAGAACGGCGACAATAATGGTTCTTGATTGCCGGAGCTTCCGGGGTACCCATAGTGGGGGCCATATCAGGGAATCCAGGCCCAAGCCTTTTCAGGCTTTCGATGACCAAGCCCCAAACCCATGGGAGCCACATCTGCCCAGAACCTTCGCTTTTCAAATTTGATTTCAG